GACCTACACCCATTTGTTCATAATTTTCCCATTATTTGCTGCGTTCTATTGTTCATAAACAATAGAGATGCTTACAAATATATTTTTATGAAAGCACTTTGTGATAAAAATAACTCCTTTCACAATTCACACAGAAGTGCAACATGATTATTGCTCCTCCTTCCAAACAAATTTGCAGGTCTTGGTGACCAGCTATGTTTTCCTCCCCCTAAGCATTGACACAGAGGGAGATGACAAAGCTGAAGAAATTATATTACTGCTTTCTATGCACACACAGCAAAAATAAAAAGTAGGCTGTCTGATGATGATGTTTGAATTGAATTGATCCAGGTGTTCTTTTCCAACACTATTACTTACGACAAGCAGCACATATTACTGACCAGTGAACATACAACGAGGATGTAATTAGCTTTCACTTAAACAATTACCTTGCTGTCATTTCCCATCCAAGTTCAGGAAGCAGCACAGACTCAGGAGGGCAAAAGGTTGCAATTAACAGGCACAGCTCACTGTTAGAGCTGCATTAACCCTCTTTAGATACATTTTCAGGAACAACAAGCAGTCAAATGCAGCCCACAGCAGTACCCAGACAAAGACTACATTTCTACATTCATTAACATTTTAGAAGTTACTCGTTAAATCCTGACAGAGTCCAGTGATGTGAACTAGTCTCATGCCTCAGCATCAGCTCCTGTTTACTGGGATCGTAACACCACACTGAAAGCAAGCTATGGGTATTTTAGATGATGGAGAAGCTCTTTCATCTTTTTCTCAGCTCCAACTTTGCACTGGATAAAGTCACCATCCAGTCTCCTCTCATGCAAATACAGTACAACATAGGACTATGAGCAACTATCTCCAACAACTGGCATTGTGGAGGTCAGTTCTGTTCCGAGGCAAATAAATGCTGCTATGATTTCCTATGAAGAATTTCTGTCATCTTCTCTGAGTATGGCTCCCAGGGAGCCATCCCTGGCTAATCTATCTTTAAATGTTTTATCAGAAAACTATTCTGGCTTGGCATATTTGGTGGGGAGAAACCATATCCTTAATTGCTATAACCGTATCAATATTCAATGGCATCAGTGTACCCAGGCTAGGTATGATTATACTATATAACTTATTTTGAAGAGGGAACAGGTTAAAATTGTTCTGAGAAAATAATTTCCTGGGGCTGACCAAAGAGAAACATTAACAACATTCAGTAAATAAAAAAAACTATCCTAGGCCATAGCATACCTTTTGTTTACAGTACTTGTGTTGTGAGGCCAAGAGCACGGGAATCAACAGGTTAGGCACAGAAGAGACTTTATGCATTAGGCACAGAAGAGAGGACAGGGAAGCGCCTTTGCAGCTCCTCATTCAGCAGTGAGAGCGCTCACTCATCACATGGAGAAATGCAGAGTCCAAAAACTTCTCTTCCAGATTCAGACACCTTGTACCACCAGGAAGGTGTATGCTTCAAAAAAGGTAGCCAAAAGCCCATTCCCACAGTCTGCAGGTGCTCCCCCATGGGCACTTTCACCTGTCAGCCAGGGACCCAGCTTCCTTGGCAAGGTGCACACAAAGGCCAGTTCTAGTCATACATGCATCAATCACCAAACCCTTGTCAATTCTTTCAATTTTTTAAAAGCAACAACAAAAGATTCTCCCAAACCCTTTCTAAATTTCTGTTTCCCCACCTATTTTCACTTTTCCAGAGGAGCACACTAATGACCACTCTTTGTAAGCTCATAGGATGAAATCATGATTGAAGAATTAGAATTTCTAACTTCCCCCTTTTCACCATAGAGCCCGAGTCCTCATTGTTTAAAATAAGAGGAGAGATTAGTACCAACTCTGTTTAGCCTCTTATCTCTGCTCAGCAAAGTTAGATAAATAATATTGCAGGAAATTAGTTCAAGTGAAAATAACCACCCTTTTTATTTCAGCATTAAATGCCGAGAAAAGATTCTGGTTTGCCTGTTCTGGCATCTTAGGCTTACTCAGCACAGGCATGGCACAGACAGTAAAAGGCAAAAAACTAAAAACTGAGCCATACTACAGAAGGACCAGCTTAGGGTTAAAAGTTATTTTCATGCCTAATAAATTCCTACAGCTCTGTAAAACTGCCGAAGCAGGTGTCATTTACGATAGTGACAATTTTTATGGTGGTGCTGGTGTACTAGCATCACGGTGAAGGAGATCACAGATTCACCTTTTAGAGACAGAAGCAGTATTTCACAGGGATATTAATTACAATATGAAGAAAATAAGTAATCTAAAAAGAATGGCAATATTCATGACACAAATGGGTCTGTACCACAGGGAAGATCCCTGGGTGTTTCAGGATGTATGACTAAGTGGGAAGATACAAGAAACGGCAGCTATAGGGAGCACAATGTGACTGCTCAGTACCATTGTTTTTGAAATTAATGTTTATCAGTTTTCCATGAATCACCAACTGCACTTTAAATACCAGTGCCTGTATTCTTCAAGAGACTATAAATACACCCAGTTTATTTGGCTGTCCTGGAGAAAACCTGTGAAAAGAGTGACGTTTGTTCTCAATATATAACAGCCATGAAGAGTTGTCACAGGACTGAAACAACACATTTTTTCTAGATGTGAATTACAATACTTCTGTAAATTGTCACATCCCTTTCTGATGGAAGACAGCCTTATCAGTCTGTTTGGTAATAACACTCCTGAAAGTTGTTTTGACTAGACTTTCTTCCTTTTAATGACTCCAGCCTGCAGTGCATCATGCTGGTTATATTGGTTTGTGCTTTATATCACTTGGTTTCCTCCCAAGCTCAGTATGATCACCAGACCAACATTGTTGGAAGTTTAAACCTGCACACATACATTTCAGTTAGTGGAACTACAAACCCGTTTGCTGGTATTCACAACTATTAGTTGCCTTGTACATTTGGTTATGCTTACAGCAGGGAAACTTCTTCCTCTGAGTGAGAAAAAAGTTGAGGTGCACTATTACTATGCAGAACCAAGCAAGTTACTAATCCTTCCCTGTGTAACTTTCTTACAGGGAGAAAATGTGGGGAGTCAAACTACTCAGCAACATAAACATGCAGAGGAGCTGCAGGATAGCAGACCTCTGTCTTGATCTCCAGGATCACTCACTTTCTTCCAGACTTCAAAGACAATGAAAAAATATTAAGCTTTGATCTCAGCAAAGATGCCTTTCACTTGCTGCACCCGAAAGCCACACATCAACCTCAATGCTTCCAAAGTTGTCCAAGAAGTAATTTGGACTAGCGTATCTTTATCAAACACTTAAACAGAAAACAAATGAGTCCATGCACGAAAGAGCACAGTTAAGGAACCTGTGCATTTCAGTCCTCATGACAGGAAAAATTAAGAGCTCAGAAAAATAGACAGAAGGCTGCATTTCTAGTGTTATCTGAGGTCCACTGATAAATTTGTCTTTGTAAGCACAGTTAAGAGAAATATGATATGAAATATATAATCTAGTCTTATCTTAAAGACAGGACAGTCAGTTCTTTCACCTTCCTTCCCGCTACATAAACAGCCCTCTATCCACTAATTTGTCATGCTTCTAACATGTTAGTTTTAGTCTTTGAATTCACAGGGGTTTGCACAAGCTCCTTTTACTTCCTGCTCACATAACTCCATGCCCTATGAGATTTCACTCGAATTTCAGCTTCACAGTAGCCAGAATTGCAATGTCTTCAACATCCTTCCTATACAGTGTTATTTCAAAAGAGTATATTTTGGTTCTTTGAAGTGACCCTTAAAATGTTTCCCTACTCAACCTGGCATATCGTAGAGTAAATCAATACCACTGCACTGCAATTGTTTGATTCAGGTCAGATCTTCAAAAACCTGGAGGATACTTTGAGCAGTGATGAAAGAATGCTTTATCAGCCTGTCCTCGATGTGCTATACCAAGCTTGCTTTGAGGAGACAGGCACTGGAATCTGAGTAGAAATGAATAAGGAATTACAAGAAAACCATGCTGAATCGTACATGTTTTTCTACCATGGATCAATACAACTTCCAAGAAATGAAAGGTTTTGAAGGAAAAGGAACATACTGTGTGCATACCTCTGAAAAAAGTCAGGTGGTAGCTGTGTAATACACATACCTAGAAGGCTCAAAGGAAAAAAACTTCGAAATCAGTATCTGTACATTTCCTTTAGGAGGAATTACTTGATGGGGCAAAATAAGTTCTTAAGTATTCTATTATGTGTTGGGTCCAAAGTTTTTTTGGAGAGGGGTGGCATTTGTAATAAGACTAGTAACTTAACAGTACAATTGCTTTCAGTAGGCAACCTATGTAGGTTAGAGGTGGACTTCCTGAGCACAGACCAAGTGCCAGCACTTGTAGGCAGCTATCACTGTTCCAAGAGATGAAGCACACAGATACAACTCCCTCCTGCTGTGACTGTTGGAAAGTTGTGGGACTTCTGCATTAGTCAGCACAAGTGGACCTTGTTTTTCTCATTAATTGCACCAGCAAGGTATATAATAAACAGCTGCCTCAGAGGAAAGAGGAGTGAGAAGGGATAATATGAAAGGAGAGTCCAGTGTAATGAATTAAATGTAATGAATAATGTGGTTCTGGTTTAGCCTGTTCATTCTCTTGCTGGCATTTGTGAACAGAAGGAAGTAATAAAAATAACCTTAGTATGCATCCAGCCACTAAAGGACTGGTGAACTCTAGTATTTCCAAGGCACACATTTGCCATGTATGAATAGTAAATACATGTTCCTGTCCCAGAGCATTGCAGTCACAAACATAGCCTTTTTCAAGACATTCCCCAGCCTAAGACAGGGACACAGATTCTGCTTGAGTAGGGGTGTACAGCCACTAAAGAGAAACACCCAAATAACGGACCCCAGGAAAAGGGAAGAACCTTCTTTCAGTGACCTGATTTACCAGGAATGTATTTTTCACAATTCAGACGAGAACATTTAGTGTCTGAAAACATGGCTGAAACAGCTTAGAGATTAAAGGAACTGAAATGCCCTCTTACCTTTGTTGTTTATTTTCTTCCCCTTTCTTCAGCTGTTCTAATACAAGAGGAAATGTCAGGTTCTGCTGTGTATACACACATGCTTTTATAAACAATGATAAAATCCAGGCCCCTCACCCTCCATGCAAGGAATTTTTCCTTTTTAGAAATGAAAACTTCTAAAAGAAATCTTAATGGGAAATAAAAACAACAGAGACTACTTACGTCTGAAAGACCAAATGCTATTGTTAAGCATTTTGTTGATGGAATTATCATTAGGGCTTAAAAAAAAAGGTCTCCAAATTAATTTAAGGGTATTAGACATCCAAATTACAATCAAATTCAAGTGTGCTTAGCTTTCTAAAAAAACCATCGTAAGTATGCAATTTAAGGCCCAAAGTGCAAGCTGCATGCCAATAAAGTGGACTGATCTAGGAAACCAAATTGTAATACTGTTTTCCACCTTACATTTTATTTCCCAAGCATTGGAGAGGTACAACATTTCTCCCAGGGAAGGTCTTGCCCCCTGCAAAAGCAGAAGATGATAAGGGCTGGAGAGCAGCACCCTACAGCATCACCAGGGAAGGAAGCAGCAGCCTCTGACTGTTTAAATAAGGCCCCAGGCAGGCACATGTGGGGTCAACAGTGGGGTTGATCAAAGTTATTAAGGTGGAGCAGGGGCTGTAGCAGACACATGCTCTCTGCTTGGAAGCTTACACTTCCAGCCTCCATCTTTCAAGGTTTTAACCGTATTTTCCTTGCTATTGCAGATGAGGGATGCTGATTTCAGTATCATGGCAATAAAAGTCACAAAGAGGGAAACTTTCAAATACGTTTCAGAAACATGAATTTTACTACTTGTTGGTGAAAGTTGTACCCTTAAATATATCCCTTAGATACATCTGTAAATCTCATCCAAAGTGGCATAGACTCTAGAGAGGGGGATGAGAGGACAGGCACTATTCCTTTTCCCACTGAAATCCCTCCGTCCTATCCCATGACAAGCTGCAGTTAAATGACTTGAACCAAGATGAGTGGACAGCAATAGGCCACATGTTAGTATGGTCATAGGAGCCAGAAAGCATTACAATGAAAGAGTAGAAAAATCAGGAGGGAGTAATTAAAGTAGGGAGGAGGAAACCTTCCCCCATGGGAAGTGATCATCTGTGCACTACAAAAACAGCCTTGTGCTGCACTTGTCTTTGGCTTTCAGCCTGCAATCAGGCCACTCTGGCCAATAGCTTTGTCAGGTGCACACTCAGCACATTATGGAACTTGTGGGATCAATATAGCCTTTTGGGCTGCCTTGTGCAACGTGTGGCATTTCCTGGCCATAATGTCCTTTTGTACAGCTAAAATAATCTGTACATTCTCTTTTTAAAACCATTCCTCTGTCACTGTGTCGTTAAAATGACATCAATGTCCCTCCAGTCTATGGGTTAAAATCTGCTGTCAATTACCAAGCAAAATGTGAATGAAATGAAGAACGAATTTTCTAACTTCATCAGTGCTGTTTTTCTCTTCTTCCCCCAGATAATAATATCTTAAAATAGAATGCCTTATTAACCACAGACCAGAAGGTTAATAAGTACATCAACAAAACAAATGTAGTAAATTAAAACAATGCATTAACATTCATTAGTATTTCACTGTTGATTCCCAAACATGCTGCTATTGCTATTCTGTTATTATCAGGCAATAATTGTTATGTCAAAAGATAGGACCCATATGGTTCAACGAGTTCCTCTGGGAGCTTCTTCTGTATGAAAGTCAATCAAAAATATGATTCTATAAGGAAACACATGGACACAGGAGAGCTGCTGTCAGTATATGCAACCCATGTGAAAAACTCAAGTGACTGTTTCAAATAAAAGTTTTTAAATCTAGGGAAAAAAAGTGAGAGTTAGGAAAGCAGCAGTAAAATCAGCAAGTTTGTTCACAGTGTGTAAAGCTCCAATGTTCACAGTATGTAAAGTCCCTGCCAGACTGGCTCCTGTTATCCTAGCAATAGCAAATACACTCTAAATAATTCAGGAAAATTCAGATTTTGTGTGTATATTCCTACCTATAATAACTGAGAATGCTGATCCAGGTGAGCCAAAACAGGATGTTTCAAACAGCATTTACCCTCTGAAATACCCACAATCTTTAGGTGAAACCGGAAATGGCTAACGTACCACATTGAATATCCTGCTGAACTTGCCTTGTCATCCAACATCAAATCCTGTTTTACAACTCTGGTAAACATTTAATCTACATAACTAACTTCTAAGATGTTATAACACATGAGATGCACGAATCTCTCAGCTGCCTCTTCTCCTTCAGCTGCCCTCATCTGCACTTATCTCCTGACCATCCTGCTGGAAGGAGTCAGGACAAGCCAAGGTGACTATGCTGTGGCCTTGGGTTTTGTTGCCATCTGATGTCTGCCTGGGACCCTTCTTTCACCATAGCTTTTCCTCCTCTTCTCTTCTCCTACATCTTTTCCTTCCACCCAGGAGCAGAGTGGAGCTGGGCTGTGGCTGGCTTGCTCTGAGTTTCCATGCCTCTGGCCCAGTCACCACCTGTACAGCTTCCAGCAGCTGCCATGTGCCTTTGCCTCTGGCTGACTCCCGCTTCCACAGAGGGTTTATTCCTAGCGCTGTTGTTGATTTGTAGGGTTTGGTGGCCCATACAAATGCAGAAACCATAATTGCAGGGTTTTGAAGCAACACTTGGATTACATCACCACCTTTGTATTTTTACATATCCTTTGCAAGTTCATTATAAATCACTCTATGCTCCTTACTTCACTGTTTTACTGGCACAAGCTGTTTTGCCTAGCTCTATCTCACTGCTCTATCTGGCGGTTTGTATTTACCAGGCACACACGGGTTGTGAAGAGTTGCGTAAGTTGGTTTCTATGGTAGGTTTCTAGTCGCCATCTGCTTGAGTGAAAAAATATCTTTTTCAGTTAACACACTGGGTCTGGTGTTTGCATCTTTTGTTTCCTTCTAGATGCAACCTCAGAAACAGAGGAGGGGCTGCGAGGCTTTCGGGAGAGGAAAGGTCCTTTTACCCAGCTAAGAAGTGCATTATCCCTGCCTGAACACTGCAGAAAACAAAGTCCTGAAAAGACTCTTTCCTTGTACCCAGCTACTTTCCACAACACTGCTTTATCATAAGGGAGATAAACCCCTAAACCTCTTTCTATATATATGTTCACCTTGTTTCTGGACTGGTTTCCTAAGGAAACCAGGGTCTGTGCTCTTGTTCCCCTTCTTCCCGAGCTGCTGTTAAGCCTCTGGCTTATTTCTGCTCCATTTCAAAGAGAGGGCAGAAAATTAAGTTCCCACACATTTCACAGGAAAGGGGAGAGGCTTATTAATGACCCCAAAGAGAGATGTGGAGGAGTAAGAACCCACCCCTTGCTAGACACTCAGGAGGCCACTGCAGAGAGGGATGTTCTGAATGTCCCATTCATGGAACGTTGCTTTCAATGGAGCTTGCATCTCAGCAGACACAAAAGTATCCAAGCAAGTCCATAGGAAACTGCTCAGGGGACTGCCTGTTTCCAGCAAGTCCCTCCAGCTAATAGTATCAAGCAGCAGAAGCAGGGACTGGGCAAGAAAAGCCTCTCTAGAAGGGCCTGGAAGGGCAGCAGCAATAGTGGCACAAGTGATGCGTGATGAGGTGTGCATTTTTGGATGAAAGAAAACCACAGTCCTCAGGAAGAAAGGCTTGTTTTCCACAGCTACATGAGGCAGTGGAAAGGGCAGGCTGTAAGATCACTGATGAACAGCCAGAGGAACTGTGATCAGACACACAGCATATACGCCCCAAAACAGTGCCAGACCTGTGATTCATCCAACACCCACCACTGTGGGTTTTGCCACACAAGGGGGATCAGCAAAAGCAAGAGTGGCCAATTCACTTGAGTGAGCATTCCTGAGAGCAGCCTCCCAATCGCCAAGCTGCACGAATTAGGGTGTGCAAATGCGCTGCGGGTGGCACACTGCCTCGGCCCCTCTGCACCAGCAACACAGGGTGTTCCCTGCACACCACCTCTTCCTCCCATTCAGCACGGGGAAGGCACTGCCATGCCCTGGTGCCTGGCAGCCTGCCACTGTCACAAGGGATCTGGCAGCTTCGCCAGCCCAGCTCCTGGGCAACAAGCACACATTTCTTCAGAAGGAGAAAGATAAACTGCCCCCAGCCATGCTTTCCAGGGGAGAAAGAGGCAAGGTGAGGTGTCCAGGCCAGCACCTGCATGATGCCCATGATGGCCCAGGCATTGGCCCAGTGAACATGTCACCTGGAAGGTGACCCTAATGTGGTGCACAAAGTGCTTCTGAGACCCAAGTTATCCCCTACACAAAACAGCCTGGGTGCCCCTATGCCATGTGGCCATTCACAGGATGCAAGGCTGTTCCTGAGCATGTCCCACTGGCAGCTGTTATTCACTGCCAAAAGTATGTAAGGGCATTTTGATCAAAATGTATTTTCTTCTCATATGCTTTTCCCTCAGCCATGGCTCACTGCTGTCTCATTTTGCCTGGGAGAAATATTCTATAGCATACTACAGGTACAAGGCTGAACTTTTTATTTTTAAGCTATAATAACCTAAATTTTTAGAGGAGAAAACCATCAAGGTGACATCTGCTCTCACCGTGTATGGTTTTAAAGCAGAGAAAGCATATACCTTCTGTAGGAGAAGGAGCTGTTTCCAGGCTCTCCTCTCCCTGCAGTGTGACCTTTCACAAAGACCCTATGCAAAGACATGGTAGGCAGTGGGCAGCCAGTACAAGCTAAGGGATCAGGTACCTTCACCTTGGAGCAATAGGCTCTGAACCAGCCCAGTCATTGTGGTGCTTTACTATGGAAAAAGGTGCACCACACCCTAAAAGGTTTGGGCATTCACAGAATAGGTTTTGCAGCCTAGAGTTTAAAAAGCAAATAAGTAAACAAAATTTAAATAAAAAAGCAATTGAAGGTTTTTCCCCCTAAAAAGAGAAAGAAATACAGGAATAGGGAAAAAAAATACCAATTTTTGTTTCAACGAGCAACAGCCTCAAGTTCTAAGCAGCTGGAGGGAAAGAAGAAAAAGGAAGCCCAGGATAAGCAAACCAAAATTTGCTTTGAGGGTTATAGCTTGTTTACAAGGTTCAGCCAGAGCACAAAGCACAAAGAAAGCATCTGGCCATAGTCCCTTCGTGCACTTTGGCAGCCTGCAAATGAGATATAAACCAAAAATAATAAAAAAAAAACAGCTTCCAGAGGGAATGTTTCTGTTGAAACCTCCTGACTGCTCAGCAGCAGCACCCACGCTATGCTTTAATAAAAGTTACCTTTTTGAAAGGCTGGAGAGCTTTCAGCATGATATGTACCTGCTTGTCCATAGCCATCCAGACCACCTCATACCTATAATCGCAGTCAAACTCTTCCTGGGAACATAAGGCAAAATGAGATATATAAATGGGTTCCTCCATTATGGCCTTGATATCTCATCACATATACCTTCTGCATTTAAATACATTGGGGGAATTTTTTGTGCCCTCCCGAATTCTTCCTGTCATCAGGGATCTTCCATGTTTGATG